CGAATATTGATTATTAATCATGATTGTGAGAAAATATTTACAGATGTATATATTTATTCTCAAAGGAAATTAGTTTTTTTTTTTTATGAGAAAGAAAATTAGTTTTCTATATATATATATATATACACATTCATAATCATACTTAATATGGATATTTAATGAGTCAGTAACAATTTAGCTTCAAAAAGAATTATGTTTTCTGTTATGATTTGTGCCAAAAAGAATACTCCTCAACGGCATCCTAATTATTAATTATTAATTTGTTTATGTGTCAAAATATTAGCAGGTGATAATTTATGAAACCAACATGAAATTTGTCATGTTGAAGGAATTTTCAAAGAAGCTCGCTTGACTAAATCCAAATTCCATTGTTTTATTTTTTTAACTTGAACGGATAGCGTGTCCATGAACATATCTTCAGATTTAATTTTTTATTAAATGATTTAAAAGATATACTTTATATTAACTTGATACATTTAAAATAATTAAATAATTAATCTCAAAATTTAAATTTAAAATTTATTTATTAAATTACATTTATTTATTAATAAATTCAACTTAAAATTTAGAATGATATGAATACTCTAGGAATGATCTTAGAAAAGAATATATGTAAAAAAATAAAAAATAAAAAAAATAAACAAGAAAAATTCAAAGCCTGTACCATTTCAAAACACGGCTATCTAGTGTATTATATAAAGGGTGCCCCACGGTTCCCATCCCATAATTTATCTTTTCCTCACAGGAAAACATCCAAATAGGGCGGAAATGGCTTCTCTTAAACCAGCACTTGCTCTTCTATGCGGGATTTTGCTGTGTTTTTTGGTTCAGGTTTCTTTGGCTGCTAAGGTCAGGCATCACAAATGGGCAGTGGAATACATGTTCTGGTCACCGGACTGTGTGGAACATGTGGTGATGGGCATCAACGGCCAGTTTCCCGGACCAACGATCAGAGCCACCGCCGGAGACACCATTGTTGTTGAGCTCACAAACAAACTGTACACTGAGGGAGTTGTCATTCACTGGCACGGAATCAGACA